GCGCGCGTGTCACTGGAAAGTGATAGCGGCTTTCTTCGTAAACCAAAAGAACCACACGTGTCACTACCCCCCCCCCCCCCCCTGAAAAAAACATCGTCCCGATGCTAAAGACAGAACATAAGAGAGAGTACATGCAATAAATTACATTAACAATGCGTCACAGCTAATCAGCGCGCATAATAAGGTTTAAGTCGCACCACGTGTACGACTTCGGGTCGTGCACGGCGTCGTTGGGATGGCGTTAAGCCATCGGGCACGACCTCATAGTCCAGTTCACCACGACGTCAAGCTACCTTGTAGGGTTCAAAGTAGCGTCGCAAGAGCTTCCCAGACAATCCCCGTCGTCGTATCGGCGTCCAGACCCAGACAAGGTCGCCGGGTTGGTATTCGGTGTGGCGTCGTCGAAGGTTGTAGTGGCGCCTGTCGACCGTCTGTTGGCTCTTGATACGCAGGCGGGCTAGCCGTCGAGCTTCTTCAGCGCGATCCAGGTAGCTGGCGACGTCGAGGTCTTCTTCGTCGGTGCCGACCGGTAGCATGGCGTCAAGCGTCGTTGTTGGGCTCCGTCCGTAGACGAGCTTGTATGGAGCAAACTGTGACGTTTCCTGCACGGCCGTGTTGTACGCGAAGGTTACATACGGGAGTATGGCGTCCCACGTCTTGTGTTCGACGTCCACGTACATGGCCAGCATGTCAGCGATGGTCTTATTTAGACGCTCGGTGAGGCCATTCGTCTGTGGGTGGTACGCGGTGGTTCGGCGGTGGCTTGTCTGACTGTACCTCAAGATCGCCTCCGTTAGGTCAGCCGTAAAGGCCGTACCTCTGTCGGTGATGAAGACCTCGGGGGCTCCGTGGCGGAGGACGATGTTCTCAATGAAGAACTTGGCGACCTCGGCGGCAGTGCCCTTGGGCAAGGCCCTTGTTTCGGCATAGCGGGTGAGGTAGTCAGTCGCTACGACAATCCATTTGTTGCCAGAAGTTGACGTCGGGAACGGCCCCAGTAAGTCCATGCCGATTTGTTGGAATGGCCGTCGAGGTGGTTCGATGGGTTGCAGAAGTCTGGCTGGCCTAGTTGTCGGCGTCTTGCGTCGCTGACAGTCTCTGCATGTCTTTACGTAGTGGGCGACGTCGGCAGTGAGGCGAGGCCAATAGTACTTCTCTTGTATTCGTGACAGTGTGCGGGAAACACCAAGATGTCCGGCTGTCGGGTCGTCGTGTAATGCTTCCAGAACCTCTGGATGTAACGCTGAAGGCACCACGAGGAGGTAGTCGGCGCGGAGCGGCGAGAAGTTCTTCTTCAGGAGGACGTTGTTCCGCAGGAAAAACGAAGCCAGTCCTCGGCGGAATACTTTCGGCACGTCGGCGGTCTTGCCTTGCAGGTAGTCCATGAGGATCTTGAGCTCTGGGTCAGCTCGTTGGACTTCCGCGAAGTCGTCGGTACTTATGGTTCCAGGAAAGAGTCGTCGTCCCGGTCATCCTGGTGTGGCGGATCGACAGGGGCGCGAGACAAGCAGTCGGCGTCGGAGTGCTTTCGTCCGCTCTTGTAGACGACGGTGATGTCAAATTCTTGTAGTCTGAGACTCCACCGTGCGAGGCGCCCTGATGGATCCTTCAAGTTAGCTAGCCAACACAAGGCGTGGTGGTCACTCACGACTTTGAAAGGCCTACCGTACAGGTAGGGGCGGAACTTTGATGTAGCCCAGATGATGGCAAGACATTCCTTTTTTGTCGTGGAATAATTAGCTTCTGCCTTCGAAAGTGACCGGCTAGCGTAACTGATGACCCTTTCAAGTCCGTCGGTCCTCTGCACGAGCACGGCGCTGAGCCCTGTGCTGCTTGCGTCCGTGTGAATTTCGGTGTCAGCTTCTTCGTCGAAGTGCGCCAGTATTGGCGGCGTTTGCAGGCGTCGCTTTAATTCTTGAAATGCCTCGACTTGCGGCGTTTCCCATTTGAAGTCGACGTCGGCCTTCGTGAGGGACGTCAGCGGCTCGGCGATCCGCGAAAAGTTCTTCACGAAGCGCCTGTAATAAGCACAGAGGCCAAGAAATCGGCGTACTGCTTTCTTGTCGGTGGGTGCAGGAAAGTCGGCGATCGCAGCTGTTTTCTGTGGATCAGGGAGCACTCCCGACTTGCTGATAACGTGGCCAAGGAACAATAGCTCCTCGTAGGCGAAGCGGCGCTTTTCTGGCTTCAGTGTAAGTCCCGAGGCTTTGATTACCCGAAGAACAGCTTCAAGGCACCGGAGGTGCTCGTCGAAGTTGGAAGAAAATACGACTACGTCGTCCAAGTAGACGAGGCAAGTCTGCCACTTCAAGCCTGCGAGTACTGTGTCCATAACCCGTTGGAACGTCGCGGGCGCCGAGCAAAGACCAAAGGGCATGACTTTAAACTCGAACAGGCCATCTGGTGTTATGAAGGCCGTCTTCTCTCGGTCTCTCTCGTCTACTTCGATTTGCCAGTAGCCGGTTTTGAGGTCCATCGACGAAAAATACTTGGCGTTGTAGAGTCTGTCCAGAGCATCGTCTACCCGTGGGAGGGAATACACGTCTTTCTTCGTGATCTTGTTCAGGCGACGATAATCGACGCAAAAACGTAGGGTTGCGTCCTTCTTCCTCACTAACACCACGGGTGATGCCCACGGGCTCGTAGACGGCTGAATGATGTCGTCACGCAGCATTTCGTCGACTTGTTGCTTGATGGCCTCGCGTTCCCGTGCAGAAACTCGGTAGGGGCTCTGAGGGAGCGGACAGGCATATTCGTCGGTTATGATGCGATGTTTCGCGAGAGGGGTCTGACGAAGCCTCGATGACGACGAGAAGCAGTCCTTGTATTGGTGGAGTAAGGCTTTGAGCTCCTTTTGTTGCTGCCTGGAAAGGCCTTGACGTACGTCGAAGGCGGGCGCGGAAACTGCTGTCGACGTTGCGGCTCCCTGAGAATCGGTGAGGGCGAAGGCATTGCTCGTTTCCACAAATTCGCTTAGATGTGCTACTGTCGTGCCCCTATTCAAGTCCCTATATTCGTTGCTGAAGTTCGTCACCATTACCTTGGCTTCGCCGTTATGAAGCTTGGCTATGCCTCTTGCGACGCACATCTGACGGTCTAGGAGCAGGTGCTAATCGCCTTCGATGACACCTTGTAAGTTGGTAGACGCTTTGGTACTGACGGAAATGATGACGCTTGACAGTGGCGGGATGGTTACCTGCTCTTCTGTTACATTCAAGGCATTGTGAGCGACGTTGCAGTCTGACGCCGTTGCATTATCCGAGGACAGCGTGATTGACCTGGATCTTAGGTCGATGACTGCGCCTTGCTGGTCCAGGAAATCCATGCCTAAAATGACGTCTCGCTAGCATTGCTGCAGGACCACAAAACTCACAGAATACGTCTGGCTGTGAATCGTGACTCTTGCCGTGCAGGTTCCTGTCGGTGTTATAAGGTGGCCCCCTGCTGTTCGGATATCCGGTCCTTCCCATGTAGTCTTTACCTTCTTGAGCTTAGCGGCGAAGAGACCACTGATGACAGAGTAGTCGGCGCCGGTATCGACTAGGGCGGTGACGCTGTGGCCGTCGATGATCACGTCGAGGTCGGGGGTTCGTCGTCTGGCGTTCCGGTTAGGTCGGGGCGTTGGATCACGGCTGCGTCGGCTTGGTCCGGCGCTGCTATGTCGCGTCGGTGGCGAGGCTCTGTCGTGAAGACTCTGCTCAGGCGGCGTACTGCGACTACGTCGGGAAAGTTCGTGCGTCGTGGTCGTCGTCATCGGCAGCGGCGGCGGCGGTGGAGGAGGATCTTCGGCATTGCGTCGTGCAGCAACCGTTCCTCCATCGGTTGCTGCCTTTAGTTTCCCGGGTAGGGGCTTGGGGATCGGCCCCGGTTAGGGCCGGGGTACTGGCGGCGATCCGGAGAGGCGTAGCGGCCAGGCGAAGGTGAACGGGATGGTCGTCGTCGTTGCCACTGCGATCCGGCGATGTAGCCGGCGATGTCGCGAGGTCGCTCACCTTGGCGCGGACGCGGCGCGTTCACGTCGAAGCCACACAGTCCCATCTCACGGTACTGGCAGTAGCGGTAGGTGTGCCCGGCTTCGCCGCAGTGGTAGCATAGTGGGCGGTGGTTCGGGGTGCGCCAAACGTCAGTTTTCCTCGGCGAGCGCTGGATTACTGGCGAGCGGGAAGGCGTCGGGGGTGGCGGCGGTGGTTGGCGACGAAACTGCGGAGGCGTTGGGTCCTGGCGTTGGCGAGGAGCGGCAACAGGTGCAGTAGCGGCGTAGGTCATCGCCTCCGGTTGGGGCTGTGGCCGTTCAGGAACGCTCAGTGAGCGCTGTAATTTCTCGCGGACTACGTCTTCGAGAGAGGCGACTTGGGGCTGAGACGATGGCAACGTGCGGCGCAGTTCTTCACGAACAATAGCGCGTATGGTCTCGCGCAGGTCGTCGGGGCAGAGCCCTCGGACTTCTGCGACGTCTGGCGACATGCGCCGATCGTATTGGCGGGTCCGCATTTCAAGAGTCTTCTCGATGGTGGTAGCCTCGGAGAGGAATTCTTGTACCGTCTTTGGCGGGTTTCTAATCAGTCCGGCGAAGAGCTCCTGCTTCACTCCTCGCATAAGCAGGCGAACCTTCTTGTCCTCAGACATGTCGGCGTCGGCGTGGCGGAAAAGTCGCGTCATCTCCTCCGTGAAGATCGTTACGTTTTCGTTGGGGAGCTGCACCCGAGTTTCAAGCAGTGATGCGGCTCTTTCCTTCCGCACGACGCTTGCAAAGGTGCGCAGGAAAGCAACGCGGAAGTCGTCCCAGGTTCGAAGCGTTGACTCGCGGTTCTCGAACCAAGTCCCTGCGGCGTCTTTCAGGTAAAAATACACATGACGCAGCTTGTCGTCCGGGTCCCACTTATTGAGGGCTGCGACGCGGTCGTAAATGTCAAGCCAGCTTTCCGGGTCTTCGTAGGTCGATCCGCGGAAGGTAGGCGGCTCTCTGGGCTGGTTGATGACCACGGTTGCCGAAGACCTACCTTCCGTCATCGTGGGTGCCGGCTTCGTAGCAGCCTTTGTTTTCTTGTCCTTGTCCGGAAGCGGCAGGTATTCGGGTGGTAGTCCTTGTTGTCTTCGGCTCACTCGAACGACGGGGTCGGCGTCGTCCTCTTGGCGGCTTGGGCTTGGCTCACGGCTGGACGGGGGCGTACGGTACATGGACCGAGAAGCACCTCCACCAGATGTCACGCGGTTGTGACACACGCAGCACTTTAGAGGAAGCACACAGGAGTCAGGGCGATGTCGGGTGAACTGTTTATTGGGCGAACTTGTGCCCAGCAAAACAAGGCCAAACACAACTCACAGCAACAGCGGCGTGAACAGTCGTCGGTCAACGGAAAAAGACTGACTAGTGGCGCACTGCGCCGGCTTTTTATACACGCGTCATATCGCGTTCTCGATTTATTTCTGGAGCTCCAGAAGTTACTAAAATGTGCGCGTCAAGTATGCAAAGTTTCAAGAATGATCCACACGGTTCCAGAGTGGCATGCAAGATAAACGCGGCCTGCGTTGCGCTTAACAGAAAGTGATAACAATGCTCCCCGCAAACAATCACAACGAGCGCGCGTGTCACTGGAAAGTGATGGCGGCTTTCTTCGTAAACCAAAAGAACCGCACGTGTCAATATCGATGTACTGTTCGAACCCTGATGAAAGTTACCCTTGGTGATGATCCACATATAAGATACGACAATGTAGGCCACCTTTCAAGAGTTAACGCTCGTAGACGTTTTGTACAAGCTACCTCTTCCACTCCGCCCCTCTCTCTATATCCCACTCTCGCCAAATACACTCACTGTCCTGGCCTTCGAGGGACCAAATTTTTATGACTGTGGCCCAGCATTCAAGGTGAGATTGAGACCCTCGTCTCGATGATTAGTCTAGTCGCATTCCTGGGGAAAACAGAGGTGTTAATACACTTCAGGCGCCCGCTCACATATATCCCTCGTCACAAAGGTGGACGAACGGGTCCGCATCCCTGAAGCTTGTCGCTTCACTGTACAGGAGCGACCCCTTCCGAACAACATGACTAGAGCTGCCCGTGATGGTCGCTGCCTTGCGCGGTCGGAGGCTTTCTCTCAACTATACTGCCATAAGCCAGGTGTCTTCTTCATGGATGCTGCCGGCCCGCGCCAAGGGGATTGGAACATGGTGGCCGTCACCCAGCGATATGCTACAGTACAAGGCCTTTGTTTTCGTTCCCCAAACATTAAATTTGCGGCGGATATCGCTATTGCACAGGCAGCCGCAGATGCAGAGAGCCCCGTGTCATTATCTCCTACTCCAAGGGCGCTTGCCGTGATACTCTGCAAGTTTATATGTCGTACAATGTCTTCAAAATTCTTCACGCTTGCGAGTACACCGGGTATCCGGCCCGTCGTACCAGCGTGTGGGCTCCGGCTCGTGCAGGTCTTGAGGGAGAGGAGACAGCCGACGCTGCCACACGCGCGCTTACTCACCAGGCATCGCCTCGTCCGCAGTCCGCTCCGGAACCCTACGCAATTCCAGCCGTCACATTTAGAGAAATCACCCCTTTTTATAAATCCTCTCATGGTCTCTCTCCCCCAATCTGTAAAAACCTCACCAGGAGCGCTGGCTTCTCCGGCTCTTCAACAATACTGTACTGTACCTGGCAGTACTGAAGTACATATTTCAAATCGGCCTTTTCGGACACATGCTCGCACTATGCGGTGGAGTCTCGTGACACCTATCACATTGTTTGGGCATGCCCCTCGAGTCCCACCTACCCACCCCATCCCCACTTCACCTGAGAGAACTGGGAAGCTGTCCTGCTCAGCTGCTCTGACCTCCAAGCCCAACAGGCCTTGGTGGCTGGAGCGCGAGCCGCCGCGGTAGCTGCAGGGATACCGGACTAAGGATCCTTCCTGGCGTTTCTGAAAGTTGGCCCCTTCAGACTCGACTTATTGATACCTCTCATTGTAAATATATTATTAATGTTTCCCTTCAACCGCGTTGCGCGCAGCATGTTCACCTGCAAATTTAGCCGAAGAAACAAGTTTCTGAGTGCGCACACTGTGGCCGTAATACTATATAAGCCCCGTGCCATCGTAATTGCTGCACACGTGTGAGGTGCTCGTGCGAGGCGTGCGTGTATCTATACTTTGAGATCAGTGGATAACTTAGCCAAATTTCTATGTTTTACGTTTCAAAATTGCAATACAATCGTAAAACGTGCCGTAGTGAGAAACCCGCGTTCCGTCGCCATCGAAATGCGGCGGCCGAGCTCGAGAATCAAAGCCGAACCATCCAGCATGTTGGCGCACCGCTAAGCTAGGGTTCATAGACGATTGTCCATGACGGCAAGCTTCCGCGTGATCGGGAACCTAGCCTAGTTCACAGAGAACGGTGCTACGGCCTTGTGCAGAGCACACGTACGGCATCGTTCTTTCACAATGTCACACACAGCTGGGAGTTCAATGCAGCACGCAACGGACGTCGTGTATATAGAGGGAGCGTTGAGTAGCATATGGCAAGAGCGTCAGGCTTTACCAATGAATGTCTGTCTCCTACATAGGGGTGGAGGAGGCGGTTCCCGTATAGATCTATACAGCGTACGCGCCCGTTCATCCTAGAGCGTGGCTGTCTCTAATCAATTATTAAACGGGGCCCACCACGCAACAGCTTCCATGGTCGCGGTTCTTCATGGCGACGCGTCTGAGAGAAGCACATCGTGTGCTTTATTTATATCGAGACAAACTTGAAGGCTCAGGAAGTGCGCCGCATGCGCGGGCTGCGTAAATATTTCTCGATCGTTGACTCAACGGCCGGTTGCGGATGGAGCTGCAGATGTCATGCGGATTCCAAAGCTGTACCGGGCGGCTGTTGGTACGTGGTTTCGGACATCGACGAGTATTGTGACGCCTAAACTTTTTAGAGGTTCAGATGGTTAGCTTGTAAGAGTTGTTGATGGGGAAGGGAAGCTTCAGGTCAACGGTGTTTGTCGCGTAAAAGTAATTTAAGTTGACCTAGTTATCTAACCGACTAGTTAATGGGCATAAGAGCTTGCATTCAGTGCAACTGTTCAGTAAGTGCTGTAAGCCCAGGTCAAACAAGACCAAAATTTAACGTAACCGTGGCCTGAAAACTGGTGTCAATTGGAATGAAACCAAATTATGCGTCTGTGTCTGAGTAAGTTTGCAGACTTATGTTATTAAGTGGGCAGTCAGTTTTTTTTTTGAAGACCATGTGTTGTATGTTCTCCAAAAAGGTTGGCTGACACTGAAAAGTAGAAGTCTGTAATAAATTAACTCGTCAAAGTGGAATACGACCACAAGATATCCCCGCGTGCATCATCTATAAAGGGCTCCTTGTTTGCGAGCTAACGATAAGTATTGATTGCCACAATACTGACGGTGTGCTGATTGTAGACAGGCACGCTAGATACCCGTGTACTTCGATATATTGCACGTTTAAGAACACCAGATGGCCGAAATTTCCGGAAGCCTACTCCATGGCAGGCCTCGTAACTCTATTGCGGTTTGCGCACGAAGCAATCCAGATATTACAGAAAGAATTCTTATTAAGTTTCGCGCTTTATCAAGTGATAGAAACACATCGATAATACAGAGCCCGCAGGGAAGGTTGGGAGTCATGCACCCGTAATTAATTTCTTGACAGTGCCACGGCAATCACAACCCAGCATTCGGTGTAATGAATAATTGCTATGCTCATCATTATGTATATCGCTAATGTTTTAGGTCGAGCATACGTAAATATCCTTTACGCGCCGCCCCCTGTTGTGAATGCTTGAGCCGTTCACGTCAGTTGCTGAGATCACCCATTTGTATGCACAGTGTAGAGAAATAGGCCGCACGAAATCGATGTTAAGAATGTCGCTACACATGCTTCACAGTCTTTCCGCAGGGTCTACACATTGGGTAGACCCTGGGCTCGTTCGCTGATTAGTAGAAGGGAAAAGAAAAATTGTTCTTTGAGGCGTAAACATGTTTACAGAGATCGGTGGTTCACGCAGTTTGAAGACAGAGGTTCATCTGTGTATGTGTCACGCACCTCGTGTGAGGCCCCACCGATCCAACATCGACATGCGGCATACTCACAGGCTTCCACTTCACGCTTAGGCCTGCGACGTCTGAAAGGCCTCGAAGTGGCACATTTCAAATTTATTCGCTGGTTGGTCGACCCGTGCGAGATTGCACGTGTGGTGATGTGTGGGCCTGACCGACGCACTCATAGAGCAGACACGGAGATTTGATTACACACAGACAAGCATTTAATTAAAACAAGGGCAAAGGCAGGATTTAACAAAAATAACAGAGGAAGAAAACTGATACGCGATGAAAAAGAACGGCTACAAAAACAAACTATGCTCTAAAAGAACACCAGAAGAGGGACAAACAAAGACAAATACGCGGAATGGTAATAAAATAACCGCAAGATGGAAATCCGAAAAGAGGGATACAAGGAAATAATTACAGAATGATCATGGTGGCGCTTTGGAATTTCTAAGTGCGATGCAGCGCACACAACTACGAATATTTAAAAAAAGGCTGGTTATGATAAGTTAACAGTTGGAACAAGTCACAATAAAAAGTTCCTAATGGACCAGGCCAGCTCTTGTTACACGTAGGGGAGTTGACGGGTGCCGCTGAAGATCTCGCCAGCTTAGTAGACGGCGAGGGTGCCCGGAATTGCAGCCATCTCAATACGTTGCGCGGGTCACTCCTTGCTTGCCGCCTACGCGAGACTCGCGACACCGATGACCGCACTGCTTGCTGGCTGTACGTCAACTGCGTATTCCTATGCAGTCCAAACTTTTTCAGAGGCGTACGCGTGCTCCCGTCCTATCTGGAGGCATTTTCCTTTTTTTTAGACCACCCGTGCTCCTTTCAGTACAGGTGCAGGGAAGACGAGCCAGCGCCACGCTGGGTCGTTAGTCACTGGATGTCATCCCCCCAACACAAAAGCGTCCTTCCTAGGAAGATAGGGCCCGCGGACGATCTGAAAATCGGA